TAACTCTTTCATTATCATTGCTTACACCGTATTTACATATTTGCTTCCTAATTGTGACAACTTAAAACCACTTGATCGCTTAGCTAAAATTGTATCTCAAAAGATTAGAGTGTATTGCTGGTCCCTTTGAACGAACCTCACCATTCTACATCGAATTAGTGATACCTAGGTTTAACTTATAAGACCCGAAAAAGGACTTTTATCAATGTTTTGTCGTTATGAACCATATTTACTCGAAGTCACTCAATTCTATTTATTTCATAAGAGAGGGTATACATAAAAATGCACCATCAAATATTTTTTAAAAGAAATTTGTTTATTCACTCAGTGTGTTTTCACTTTCCAGGTTGCAAAATGAATTGTGGCATTGCCTGATGGTCCTACCCATTTGGAGGAAAGCTAATGTCTCATTTGCTTACGTTTACTCTTGAGTGAATCAGTTGTTTTTCCATTTTATTTTGATGTCTGTCTTCTTCGTTTCTTACATATTACTTTTGATATTATAGAGACGCATATCATAAGTGGAGGTTGATTATACCTACGACACTAGCAAACCTCTTTGGAGTTCTTTAGAAGTGATTCTCATTATTCTTTTTATAATTTTTGTTTGGTTTTATTAGAAGTGAGAGATCAAAACCACGAAAGAGAATATGAAGAAATGATGTCTTAGTAGCTTCATTTCTTTTATGGCTTTTACTTGATTTGTGTACATTATTTATATGCTTTTTTTTGCCAACATATATATGCTTTGTATTATGGGTTGGTTTATTTTATGAGATCACATATTTTGAAGTAATTTTGAAGTGAAAACTTGTGTTTCCAAAATAAAAAACTCATAGATGGTTTTGGAGACTTTAAAGCATGTTTAATGGCAATGCCTTTATAAATTTCTTAAATATAATATTTTAATGATTTTATGTTAGTTTAGTGATTTATTTAATTATTAAATTATTAACAAAATAATAGACCAATGATTGTAAGACATGTGGCAAAAAATGTTCACAAAACTAGAACAACTTTTTCATTATGCTGAA